TATTATTGTACATGAGGTAATAGGTATTGTACCTCTTAATTTTCAAGAAATGGGCAATATCCTTAATAATATAGTAAAGATATATATATATATATATATATATATATATATATATATATATATATATATGTTCATGTGAGACGGCTTAATTTTGTGAAATCGTGAGACGTATTTTTTTATTTTATTTTATTTTTAATTTTTTTTAGTTAATTCAAGTTCCGAAAATAATATTTAAAAAAAGAATTTTTTGATTTTTCCATTTATTTTGCATTTTAAAATTATTTTTAAAATATGTACAGTGTAATATTCTATTTAGAATATTTCACGTATTTAAAAAAAACATATATGATTTTTTTTTAGTTAATTCAAGTTCTGAAAATAATATTTAAAAAAAGAATTTTTAGATTTTTCCATTTATTTTGCATTTTAAAATTATTTTTTAGAATATGTCAGTGTAATATTCTATTTAGAATATTTCACGTATTTTTCAAAAAAAAAAAAAAGGGATTTTTTTTTATTTTTTTAAAATTTTTTTTAATTAATTCAAGTTCCGAAAGTAATATTTAAATATTTTTTTTTGGATTTTTCCATTTATTTTGCATTTTAAAATTATTTTTAGATTTGGTCTCACGGTCTCACAAAATTAGAATATTACACTAACATTTTAAAAAATCCCGTATTTTTTTTGAAAATACATGAAATATTCTAAATACAATATTACACTGAAATATTCTAAAAAATAATTTTAAAAAGCAAAATAAATGGAAAAATCTAAAAAAAAAAATTTAAATATTATTTTCGGAACTTGAATTAACTAAAAAAAATAAAAAAAAAACAAAAAAAAATCCTATTTTTTTGAAAAATACGTGAAATATTCTAAATAGAATATTACACTGTAGATATCCTAAAAATAATTTTAAAATGCAAAATAAATGGAAAAATCAAAAAATTCTTTTTTTAAATATTATTTTCGGAACTTGAATTAACTAAAAAAAAAATTTAAAAAATAAAAATAATAAAAAAATGCGTCTCACGGTCTCACAAAATTAAGTCGTTTCACATGAACCTAACCCTATATATATATGGAATGAGTTCTATGGAAAACAAATAACTAGGGCAATATTTACCGGAACCAATAAGCAAATGACACGTGTCCATTTCTTTCTTCACAAGTAATGTATTGTGGAAGTGATGTGTTGTCATTTTTTCATTGGTTCAAATATGTGTTGCCCTAATCATTCATTTTCCATATAACTCTTCCCTATATATATATATATATATATATATATATATATATATATATATTATATATATATATATATATATATGGAAAAGTGAATATACCCTTAAGGATATATAACTTTAGCTACCCAAACACACCATAATACGTCGTTTTATTTGATATTGTTCATTATAATATTCTTAAACTTCAACCTTAACTTAATATACTTTTAAGATATTTGAAATTTCATTATTATCTTTCTTTTATATCACATATTTTTGTCGAACACCTAGTAAGCTATATATATTGTAGTTGGAATTAAAATTATGTAAGAGGAAGAGAAATGTGTAATTTATAAAAATTTTGGAAGTAAATCAAGTTAAAAGTTAAATTATAAGAACATTTGACAATTAGAATGTATTATATGATATAAAATAACATAGTATTGTGAGTTTGGGTACATAAACTTATATACCCTTAAGGGTATATTCACTTTTCTCATATATATATATATATATATATATATATATATATATATATATATATATATAATATATATATATATATATATTATATATATATGACGTATTATAACATTTTATTTATATTTTTAGATTATTTCTTATTAGAACATTTTATTCTTAAAAAACATCATATTATAACAAATAACAATGAGTAACATGCTTCCTTTGGTGTTGGGATGGTCATGGCCTCATGGGACGCAATGGCATCATTGTCAAGTTTCAATAGGGTTAATTAGTTATAGCTAAAACATGATCAAATCCACATGGAGATGTAACAATCGATTTACACCCCTTTACGCTATATATATATATATATATATATATATATATATATATATATATATATATATATATATATATATATATATATATATATATATATATATATATATATATATATATATATGTTCAAATGAGAACCAAAAAAGGTTAAGAACCGTAAAAACCTTTAATTTTAGATGTTTATAAAGAGTTTAGGGTTTTGGGGTTTAGGGTGTTTATAAAGGGTTTAGGATTTAGGGTGTTTATAAAGGGTAAAGGGTTTAGGGGTTAGGGTTTAGGGTTTAAGGTTACCCTAAACCCTTTATAAACATCTAAAGTTAAAAGTTCTTACGGTTCTTAACCTTTTTTGGTTCTCATTTGAACCACTCCATATATATATATATATATATATATATATATATATATATATATATATATATATATATATATATATATATATTATATATATATATATATATATATATATATATATATAAACTTTAACAAAACTAAAAGACAACTAAAACAAAATGGGTGTTAACTAAAAAATCTAAAGTTATTATGCAATAAAATAAATAAAAATTAGGGCTTCGAAGAAAATCATATTTGAGACCATACCCGTTTTCTATTCTATTCAACTATATGCAATTGATCATTAGTTGATGTTTAGACGATTTTTAACATAAGTTGGCACTAAGTAATATTAATAAGTTCTAATATCACTTTTATGTGTCAGTTAAAACAAGATCTTTAACAAGACCTAACTTTACGAATCCCTGTCTAAACATTCTTAGATTGTGATTGAAAAGTTGTATTAAGTTCTTTATAAGTATTCCCAACAATACTTAATACTTATCATAAGCTCGGAAGTGAAAAAGTATGTGATTTTATGTTTACAACATACTAAATCCTAAGTAAAAAACCAATTGTTGCTTATTGCTTGTTGGTTGTGTTGATTCTTAAAACAATCACATGTTTTATAAATTAATGACATTATAACAAATTAAACTTTCATGTGGTCAATCATGAAAGAAAACATCACTTGAAGTGTTTTATTAAATCCAAAACTTAAATCACAAGGTTGAAATCAAGTCTAAAACATCAATCCGATGAAATCAATCATACATAACCAAATTAAAAAATTAAACGGAAAAAGAGAGGATTTTAGCCGGTATGGCTAAAAACAATAGTCAAAGATTAGACAAATGTTTTTGGGAATTAAACCGACAAAGATAACAAACAATAGCTCCAATTATATTCTTCCACCTTTCGTTGCTTCAAAAGTCATCTCTCAACCTTCCAAAACCAAAGATGTTGCTTCAAAACTAATCGACTCGGTCAACTCAAGTTTGTGAAGGAATTCCACTCAGTTGAGTGGAATCTCGCATCGAGTTTCTTTGTCTATAGTCATGACTTGGTCAAGTAGTGGTTAAGAATAATGCTCATTTGGTTTATTAACTTTTTGTATACTCAGATCCTTCAAAATTTCAACTTTTACAGTTCAATTCCAATCTTCATGCAACTTGACTAGTTACTTCATAACATCCCACGAAGCACGGTTCAAGCTTCGAATCACCTAAAAATCAACAAAAACAACATGCAAATCAAAAGTTTTCACCTATTTATATAAAAATTGTAACACCCCATTTTGAAAATTTGTAGCAATAAACTGCGGTGTAATTATCCTTGAAAAAGATTTAGTTATATGGTACTAACTCGTGGATATTTTGATAAAATACTATGTTGAAAAGCTATATTGTTTCAAGAAGATTCTTTGATTTAATATTAGTAAACTGCTAATTGATAGGCGATGTTTAAGACTATGAAAGTCATACCTAATGGGGTCTAAATGACTAATTCTTGGTCTTTGAATGTAGCCATGAAAATTTTAGAACGTGTGAGCGAAAGAATCGGCTAAAAAGGAGTTTGTATGACGACGTTATGATTGTTTGAAGTGTCCACTGAAAGTACATCGCCTAAATAAGCATATTTGCGTGGAAACTGTCGAGGTCTAAAAAACTCGTGGGAATGAGTTTAATGAAGTACATTGCTATTTTAAGCAAATTTTGGTAGAACACAGGTCACATCACCCTCCGTGTCCCAACTCCGAACTCCTAAATGACTATTAAAGGCTTTAATTTGTCTTAATGTTTCGTTTCTCATCCACACTCTAAAAAGCTTATAGGAGCGATTTTGAGTGCTAAATACTTGGAGTGGAAGCTAGATTCAAGAAAATATCAAGGGAAATAGGGAATCAATAATCTAACTCTATCATGATTAAAAGTAATTTCATCTCTCATTAAGCTTTGATGGTTTTTTCCTGTTGAAACCGAAAAGGGGATGAAACCCTAGTTTTTGTTTGCGGACTTGTCACATGAAACCCTAGTTTTTGTTTTCGGGCTTGTCTTACCCTGACGAGCGTGTTCATCAATTTACATTGATTGTGGTTTACATAACATTAATTCAATTTTAATCAAGTATGATTACATAACTATGATAACAAGACGAAATACCCTAAAAGGGTAAGAAGTACTCAGCCATAATGTTCTTGAAATAGTTATAATTGTTAATGTACTCTAAAACAAAGAGTTATTGATTTACATTTGCAGCAGGAGCATTTTTGTCATCCGATGATCCACATGAGCAAAAAGATAGGGCGATCCACATGACCACGTGATCATTTTATTAAATCGGAGAAAATAAGGATTAAAGACAGATATAAGAACCAAATATATGGTCATTATTGTAAATAAGACTTGTTTTAGTTATGTTGATTAACAAAATTGGCCAAAAAAAATTCAAAACATTAAATTAAAGAACCAAAACTATATTGCAGTTGCAGGCTTGCAGCTACTACTACACTTGGGGTACGGTGGGAAGGAGTGTCAGGGGTAACCTTGTCATTTCACACTAAGAAAAAAAAATTAAAGAGCACAATGCTATAATAAACAAAAAATGTTGCTATTTGTTGCATTTAACTCGAACAAAACTCTTCAAACTTTGTTCTTCTGCAAGACCAGAATCTTCTTTGTTTCTTCATCTTCTTCAATCCCATCAGCTTTCATTTCATCCAAAACTCTCCCTACTTCTTTACCACCATTAATGCAACCTTGCAGCAATCTATGATACATCCCTCTATCAAACCCCACAAATTTCTTCAACTTCCCCATAAACAACTCAACATCTTCTCCACTCCCTTTCTCCCCAACACCATCCAACAACTTTCCAGCCACTTCCGACTCCAATTTCCAACCTTCCTCCACCACCGGGCAAAGAAACCGCCGCTTCCATACACCTTACTGCCGCCCGAACATCACCTTTCTTCAAGTACCCCGCCACCACGCTGCCCCAACTGCCCGGACTTGTACCCCGCCCGTCTTTCAACAATTTACCAAGCATACCCTCGGCCTTTTCACACAACCCTTTCTCGAGATACCCATCGATTATAATACTCGGGACTCTAAAATCATAAACATTTCCACATGAAAAACCACTCGGTCACCACCTTTTCAGCTTCTTCAAACTCACCAAGTCTCACCAGAGATTTCACTATTGCACTATAATCACGATTTATCAGCCTCTTACACGCAGTCTTTTGAAGATTCCATAGACGAAGAACATCATCTTTGTTTCCTAAACGGGAATTCAATGAGATTAAATGGTTGTAAGCAAGTCCGTCTTTTTCCACTAGCTTTTCGGCTTTTTTCAAGGTTTCATTCGCTTTATCGATGTTGTTTCCTTTGATGTAACAGTTTGCAACCACAGAATACGTGTTCCAGTCCATGGTAATCTTTGGGTCGTTCTCCATTTCTTTCAATACGTTCTCCATCTCTTTGATGTTGATTTTATCGCCATATGAGTTTATACACATTCGATAGGATAAATTATCAGGTGAGATTCCGTTTGTTTTCATCTCGTGTAAGAGATCGGGAACTTTATCGGTTTGGTTGTTACGTATGTAGAGGCACATGATGTCGTTGAAAGTGACTGAAGATAGGAAACCGTTTTCCTTCATTTTTTGGAAGTGGGAGAGGGATTTTTCAGTTTCACGTTGCCGGACGTAACAGTGGAGGAGGGCGCCGTATGTTTTGTCGTTTTTGTCGCCGTCGGTTAAAGCATTGAAGTATTTTTCAGCCTCAAGGAAGCCGTGGACCTTTCCGATTAGGTCTATTTGCACGGCGTGGTCTACTGGTGTAAACACAGAAAGGCCTTTCTTGTTCATCCACTCGGAAACCTGCACAGATCGGATAAGAATACTAATCGAAAAAATGAAATAAAGTGTTGAAATCTGGATCGATATAATCAAACCCTGAAAATGGATCAACAGAAAGGGAGTATGATAATTGTTATTGTAAGTGCTAACCTCCAAGGCATGATGATACCGTTTGCGTTTGCGAAGGTCATGAACAATTTGCTTAAGCTCAGAGGGTCGCACCTTCTTCCCCTTTTCAATCCAATCATCTAGCTCCGGGGTCATTGCCAAATTAGGGTTACCGAGTGGGCTTATTCTCGAGTACAATGACACCTTCTTCTGGCTACTGTTGTCGCTTTCGCTTCGAGTAATCGTAGCAGTAGTGTATGATCGGTTTTCAATTAGGCTTTTAACAATTTGCAGTTTTCGCAATCGACTCGCCATCGCCAACATCTTGAAATCCTTCGTATTGGAGATCAGTATGGTTGATTGTTTGAGTAGGGTTTTGAGTGTAGGGTTTTGTGAGAAGGGTTTTGCAAATCTAACGATCACTTGCAAGTTGCACAGGTGCACACTCTGTAGATTTGCAGAGTTCGGCTTCATTCTATTTCTATACTTGGGCTTCTAAATTTAAAAGTTTTACTTAACTGGGCCCAGGCCCAATAAAATTTAAGAAAAACCTATCCAATCAGATGTACCAGATTTTGATATTTCAATATATTAAATTTATGGGAGAATTTCATATATCCTCTTCTTAAACCTCAAAATATCATATTTGCCCAGCTTAATTTCTTAATATCATATTTACCCTTCATAAACCTTCAAAATATCATATTTGCCAAAATCCTTTTTTATAATGTTTTTAATATTTTATAATCATTTTTTATAACTTAACATTACTATAATAATCAAAAAATTTAACGATATTATCTTTAGTTCTATGATAATGGAATGTGAACTTCTAAATTGTTGGAATATCCTCCTCTTGACAAACAAAAATATTCATCTTCAACCCTCTCTATGGAATGTATATTTTGATTATTTAGTTTTTTTTGTTGATTATGTTGTAGATGAAGGATATTTTAGATATTACCATTGATATTTTGATGTTTAAAAAGTGCATATACGATATTTTGATATTTAAGAAGGGCATATATGATATTATGATGTTTAAAAAGGATATATATATGATATTTTAAAATTTTATGAATGGTAAATATGATATTTAAAATTTTTATGAAGGGTAAATATGATATTTAGAAATTAAGTTGGATAAATATGATATTTTGATGTTTAAGAAGGGCATATATGAAATTCTCCCTAAATTTATAGATAGATTTGTATATCTGCAAGTTCTAGATACGAATATGGAAAATACCGTAATTTCAACAAAAAATAACTTTAAATCTTTGTTTTTATTTACATGGTATCTCTCATAAAATATTAGATGCTAACAAACTTAAACAATGTTCTATGTTTGATAAAAGTAGTTGCAACCTTTAATTATAAGTTGTAATATGAAACATGTATCTTTTATTTATATATAAAATTTTGACAAACCAGTGGTGAGCTTTTAAATGTGTAATAAATGTTATGTTTTATAACGAGCTTTTGAAAGTTTCTAGGAGTTAGTAAGAAAAAAAAATCAAATTAAAGAAGAAGTTTCTTTCTTAGTACGGACGTTTTTATTTTAAATAAGAACCTCATGAATCATGATTCATGAGCCAAAACTAATTCAAATTGTTTTTTTTTAGAGCTTTTAGCTTTTGATTACTGATTTTATATAATTTTTCATCTCTCACTCACAAAATATCCAAAAATTAAAAGTTAAAAGCCCACAAAAAATAATTGAAATAGTTTTTGGATTACTAGTTTTTTGTTTAAAATAAAATCATTAAACTCATAAACCCAAACGAAAACTTTTATTTAATTCAAGTTTTTCTTAAAAGCTAAAAGCTAAATACTTGCAAAATCTTTCAAAAAACTTATGTTGAGTATTCCCTTAAACTCGAATACAAATAAAAAAGAACCATAAAAATATACATCTATTCAGGTAAATCTAAGTGTTAAATACAATTCCAAACAATTATAAAATAAATTATAATTACAAAGAAAAAATAGAAAAATAAAATAAAATAAAAAATCAATAAATAATTTCTAATGATTTCATTGAATTCATTTATGTCTAAAACACATAATAACTTTTCGATAGATTTTATTCATTTTACAGAAAAGATTTAGTATTCTTGTTGAATTGTGTAAAAAATAAATCACTTTGGTGTAAACAAAATATCTCATAACAATATGGTCTTTAATTCTTGCTGCACAAGTGTGATGTATATGATTTTATTTTAGATAAATAAAATGTCATGAAGAAACCTAAAGTTGATGATAAAATGTTTATAAAATACGACACCAAAAGCTTTATACAACTTTTGTTATTTGTAATTTTGTATAACCTATTTTTCTTAAAAATATTTCGTAATTGGACCAATAAGCCTTGGTTGGGGCCCAACAGAGGCCCGATCAAAATATTCATAACTTGAAGTTTCAAAATCACGGACGCCATAAACCCCCCAGACCAATTCTGTACCGATAGGATGAGGCTTTTTCATTTAACTTCACGCACACAAGGTGTTTGTCGAAATGCCTTAAAGAATTTCTTCAGTTCATCGTCAAGCAAATTGCCCACGCAAGCAGCACCATCATTGATTACCGAAAGAAACAACAAGAATTCGTCAAGTAGATCACCGTCATTCCCGAATAAAAACGCACCCATGTTATCACTATACAGAAGGATCTCACCAGTGGGTGATCCCGACATTTCTATTGTACCAGTCCTTGATCAATGGGTCAGAGAAGGGAGGAAAGTCGATCAAGATTCTTTAAATAACATCATCAAATCCTTGAAGAAGTATAACAGATTCAAACATGCCCTTGAGGTTCTCATTCTAATCTCCTCATCTTCCAATTCCACTACACAGTTCTAGATTCGAACTTGATACCCAACTTATTCACACATTTTGCACATCTAACATATAAAATCCAATATTTTAGATCAGTTCTCAATTGGGTTTGTATTTTTTCTTCTGCAGATATCAGAGTGGATGACTGATAAACGATACATACCCCCTACAAAAGGCGACATTATGAGCAGGCTGCATTTGATATATAAAGTTCACGGTTTACAAAAAGCCGAAGAATTCTACAACAACATCTCACAAATATTCAAAGGCTTTCAGGTCGATATCGCCCTTCTCAACATCTATTCTCAAGAAAAATCCATAGATAAAGCCGAAACCATAATGCACAAGTTACGTGACATTGGTCTCACAACTCCTTTACCTTACAATATCTTGTCACGTATTTATTACAGTGTCAAAAACTACAAAAAAATGGACGCACTGTTTCAAGAAATGGAAACAAAAGGGATTCACGGAGACAAATACTCATATGCCCTTCGGTTAAACTTCTACGCATCCACTCGTAACACCGAGGGGTTAAATAAAACCATGGAAATAATGGAAGCCAATCCCAATGTCGATATGGATTGTGACACGTATATTATCGCAACAAACGCGTTTTTGAAAGTCGGGTTAGTTGAAAAAGGTTTTGAATTATTGAAACAAGTCGAAAAATTGGCGATTGGGAATAAGGATAAGTATAAAACACTCAATACAGTGCTTAAAATGTACGCAGAATTAGGGGAAAAAGATGAAGTTTATCGAATTTGGAATATTTTAAAGAAGGAGACGATATATAATACGGGATATAGAAACATGATAAGATCGTTGTTGAAATCTGACGATATTGAAGGAGCGGAGGTGATTTGTAAAGAATGGGAAACTAGAGATTTGTCGTATGATTTCCGAGTAATAGATGATTTGATTGATTGTTATGTTAAGAAGGGCGATTTGGGAAAAGCGGAAGATGTTATAAAATGTGGAATTGAGAAAGGGGGTACGCCTACTTTTCGAACGTGGTTTTGTTTAATGATCGGGTATTTTGAGGGGAATCGAGTTTTGGAAGGTGTTGAAGCGATGAAAAATGCAACACGATGTTTTCGGGTTTTGCAATACGAGGAAGGAGTGAAGAATAAACTTGTGATTGTTTTGGAGTATTTGGAAAGAGGGGGGAAATTGGAAGATGTAGAGGGGTTTATGAATTTGTTGGAGGTGGAAGGGGTATTTTCGTCAATTGTATGTGGGAGACTGCTTGATCTCATCAAGAATGAGACTTCTAAATGTTAATAACTGCACCGAATAGCATTGATTTGTTATGTATTGTTCTTTGAGTTAATGGATTTAATTGAGACATGAATCAATCCAATACCTTAAATGTTATGGATGTTTTGTTTTGACTTAATACATAAATAACGGCTTCAAGTTAGGAAAGTGAGCTTATCAACTCCTAAAATGAAAAGTCGTCGGAACATATCTAAATGCATATAATATCTTAAATAGTTTTAAAACAAAAAAATATATTATTGTGGTGTTATATATAGAGAGAAAAAGATAAATATAATTATATTTTTAATCTGTTTTCATAAAATAACCAAATATTTAGCTTTTTTCCAAAACAAACCACGGAAAAACTGATTTCACAAACCAGCATGTGGTTTCATGCTCTTACCTGCGATTTCATATCATCTATGAAAAAAAAAATTTGCTTATTTTTGAAGACACAAAATCGTAGATGCATACGGCCATCTATTGTTTCCTCTCGATCCGTTTACGATTTCGTTGATTTTTTTTTCTAAACTAATATTTGAAATTCGGAAAAAAAAAACTAAATAATAAGAACGAAATCGCATGAAATAGCCATCTACGATCATACAAGTTTTAATGCACATGATGTTCATTAACGGCTTGTACATGCATAGATGGCTACATAGTTTCTTTTTTATCATTTTTCCGAATTCATGAAAAAAAATCATAAAAAACGCTACTAAATTTCATCATATATATAATAATAAAATAATCAAGAAAACATATACAAAAGTACTTACAACATTATTTAACGAAATCTTGTCTTCAGGAGAATTTTAGTACCTTTGATTGTGAAAAATTAGGCAAAAATTTTTAAGGTTTAAATATAATGGGCTAATAGGCCACTAAACTGAAGATAGACCACGATTTTATAGCCCACTACTAGAAACCGAAGGCATGTTAGCCTCAACTGCAATTTGGATGGTTAGTTTTGGAGGAAAAAAACTTAATCTTTAGCCATTTAGAGCATCTTCATCCCACTTTTATTTTTCATTTTTTCTTCTATTTTCTTCCTTATTTTTCTCCAATCCTTTCTCATTTATTCCTCCATTTTGGGGATACGAATAGTATTACACCAAATATGGTGGTATGCTATTCATTTCTCCCAAAAGGGAGATGAATTTTACGTTGTCGGTTTTAATCCCTCTGTTTATATATTTATACATTTATAGTTCGTTTTTACCTACTAATTATAATTTAAATATAATATTTAATAATTATAATATTTTGTTATATATTAAATTATATTAATTAATTATAAATACAAAATTTGTTTTTTTTCATCAAATTCATATAAAAATTTAAATACATACTGAAATTTTAAAAAATGATAAC